GACAGGGCCTGGATCCCACAGTCAGGGAGAACCGGGTCTGAGAGTGAAGCCCAGGCAGAGCCAGCCCCAAAGCCCCCCTGCATGGTGGGCCATGAGTGAGTAGGAGTCTGGAGGGCAGAAAGGAGGGGCAGGGCAGCCCGAGGGAGCTTCTCAGGCAGAAGCCCCAAGAGGGGCTTGGGGGGAAGGGCCGGGGGTGGGGATAGGGGGCAGTCTCCTGGCTCTTAAGGGTGGAGAGGCCATAGCTGAAACTGAGCAGGTTGAAAGAGGAGGTGAGGGGAAGAGGGTTGGGAGCAGTGGCCAGGTGTGGAGCAGAGGTGTGGGCAGGAGCCCAGGCAGGGGCACCCCTCACCTCAGGCACTGGCGGCCCCCACACCCCCGGCCAGAGCCAACCCAACCCGCTCTTGAGTTACCAGGGCGCTCGGCCAGTTAGAGAGGGGTCAGTTCCTGTTTCTGAGAGAAAAGGAGCCACTCACACTCCTCTGGGGTCTCCCTGGGGCTGGCCCTAGATCTGGGGGATAGAATCTCCTGACTTCAAAGTGACCCGGCCTGCTGAAACCCACACCGATGGCTGGCACCAAGGGGCTTTGCCAAGAGCCTGGACAGGGCCAGAACCTGAGGCCTGGGGCACATGCTGCCCCCAGGTCCACCCCAGGTCGGAGGACTACGTCCTTGTGCCCCTGAAGTGGGAGGTGGCAGCAGGCCCTCGAGTGCCCCAGCGTGCTGCAGGCAGACATCGCTGCCATCCTGGGACACAGGAAAGAGGGACTGGGACAGGCAAGGCCCACAGAGGCAGGGCCACCCAGGGATGGGAAGGACAGAGGCACAGGGTGTGGAGGCGGTGGAGCGGGGCCGCTCTCTGTTCAGCACGGAAGCAGCACAGTCACAGGCAGCCCTGCCTTCACATCTCAGCGCGGCTGTGTCGGCCATGGGACCTTGGACCCGTCACACCACCTCTCTGGGCTGCAACTTCCTCATTTGCAGCCATTTCTTGACTCACTTTCTGGTCAGCCCAAGGCTGTGAATCTGTCACACCACTGTGTGCCCAGTACCTGACACGGCATCCCACACACATGTGGACTCACGGATGGATGGGCGGGTGGATGGATGAATGGATGAATAGGCAGACGAATGGGTAGAAGGGTGGATGGGTCGGTGGGTGGGTGTTGGATGGATGGATGAGTGGGTGGATAGATGGGTGGATGGATGGGTAGATGGGTGGGTGGGTGACAGATGGATGGATGGATAGATGGATGAGTAGATGAAGAGATGGGTGAGTGACGGATGGATAGGTGGATGGGCAGGTGGATGGGTAAATGGGAGAATGGCTGAGTGGATGGATGAATGGGTAAGTGGGTGGATAGATGGGTGGATGAATGGGTGGATGGATGGATGGGTATGTGGGTGAGTAGCTGGATGGATGAGCAGGTGGGTGGATGCATGGGTAGGTGATTCATGATGGATGAATGGATGGATGGATGGGTGGATGGATGGATGAAGATGGATGGGTAGGTGGATGGATGGATGGATAGGTAGGTGGGTGGATGGATGGATGGATGGATGGATGGATGGATGTATAGATGGATGGGTAGGTGAGTGGATGGATAGATGATTGATGGGTAGATGGATGGATAGGTAGGTGGGTGGGTGGATGCATGGACGGATAAGTAAGTGGGTGGATGAATGGGTAGATGGATGGATGGATGGATGGATGGATGGATGGATGGATAGGTAAGTGGGTGGGTGGATAGATAGATGGGTGAGTAGGTGGATGGGTGGGTGGATGGATGATGATTGATGGGTGGATGGATGGATGGATAGGTAAGTAGGTGGATGGATGGGTGGGTGGGTGGATGGGTGATGATTGACAGGTGGATGGATGGGTAGATAGATGGGTGGGTGGGTGGATGGATGATGTTGATGGGTGGAGGGAGGGATAGGTGGGTGTGTGGATATATGGATGGGTAAGTAGGTGGATGGATGGGTAGATGGCTAGGTGGGTGGGTGGATGGATGGATGATGATTGATGGGTGGATGGATGGATAGATAGGTAAGTAGGTGGATGGATGGGTAGATGGATGGGTGGGTGGGTGGATGGATGATGTTGATGGGTGAATGGAGGGATAGGTGGGTGGGTGGATAGATGGATGGGTAAGTAGGTGGATGGATGGATAGATGGATGGGTGGGTGGGTGGATGGATAGGTAGATGGATGGATGATGATTGACGGATGCACGGATGGATAGATGCATGGGCTGCTTGAGTGCCCTGAGAGCATGGCAGCTGCTTCCCCACCTGTGTGATCTCAGTGTGCAAGGAGGAAGCTGAAATGCCTTTTAGAACTCAATCTTAAAGTCAAACGCCCCCACTTCCAGCATATTCTGTTTATTAGTGGTGAGTCGGTAAGCTCAGCCACGTTCAAGTGGAGAGAACGAGGCTCCACCTCTTGAAGGGAGGAGGGTTAAAGAATGTGTGGCTATATTTTAAAACCATCCCAGAGACTGATAATTGGACAGTCTCCCTCCAGACATCAAACGCAGCCAATGCTCAGCGTTTGGAGCACAGGCTGTGGCCCATGTGGTGGCCACTGCTGTCTTGTTTCTAAGGGCCGAGTGCAGGCAGTGGCCCAGTGTCCATCCAGAGAGGCCTGGGTGCTCTGCAGCCCCAGATGGGAGGACAGCTGGGCAGAGAGTCAGAAACGTCTTCATGGAATGTTGTGGAATTATCTACAGGAGATGTCCTTGGATGGAAAAAGTCAGGTGCAGAACCGTGCAGGCAGCGGACGATCTTGTGTTCAGGGAAGGAGGAACAGGGAGTGTGCGGTCCTGTATGCTGGTATCTGCACCAGGGGACGCAGGGAAACACCAGAAGCTCCTCTGGTTTTCCCAGCGGGACTAGGGAGGGATCGTGGCAGGGGCGGGAGAGATCGTGGCAGGGGTAGGAGGGGCAGCATTCTCGCCGCAATGTCTCGATATGTAAGTCTCAGGTTTTGGAGCCCCGTGAATACAGCCTGCATCCATAAAGGCCTCACAAAAAGAAACGTAAGAGAACCGTCAGAGCTGCCGCTGAGGCAGCCAGCTGACCCCCAAACCCTCCAGGGTCCCCTGGGCCAGCTGAGCTGCCCACTGACCTCAGGGAGGAGCTCGCCCATCTCCCGGTGGCCTTTGGTGGCTTCCTGGTGCCCTGAGGCTGCAGCTGGCTCTGCCCAGGAGCCCTCACTCCCGCCTGGCTCCTGGAGCTCATGGTCCAGAGCCAAGCACCACATCGGCCCTGACATGCTTTCCATTTTCTTTGCAGCCAAGAAATTCTCATTCCTCAGGAAGTTGTGCGGCGTCCCAGCTGAGGGGCCCCTGACTCCCCAGGTATGTAGAGGCAGCAGCCTGCTCCCAGGCTGGCGGGAGGCGCCCTGGTCCTGAGGCCCACCCCCACCCTCCCGGCCTTCTTCTCCCTCTCAGGACAGTAACTGGGCCTGCCCACTGCCTCCCAAGAGCCTTCTCCTGGGCTTGCCAAGCAGGGCTTCCAGCCACAACCCTGAGCCGGGCAGGCAGGCGTGTCCCCTGGGGTTCCTCACGGTGGCCGCCCAGCCAGCAGACCTCAAGGAAGCACACCAACTCCTGCCCTTGTTAAAAGCTACTGGGCACAGCTGTGTTCCCAGCACTCCTCACCACCATCCAGGACTCAGTGAAAGCCACCTCCTCCAGGAAGCCTTTCTGATGCTCCCTCTGGGCTGAGGTCCCCACTCTGAGCCCCCTCCTCCTCCATCACCTTCTGGAGGACTGTAGCCGTGGGTAGGGGGTCTGGCCCATGGGACCCAGGCTTCATGTGGGACCTGGCTGTTGCTGTTCCTACCCCCAACAGCCTGGTCCCAGTGGGTGTCTGAGCCACGCCGGACACAGCTAAGCCCGGTGCAGAGCGAGAGGTGTGCAGGGCAGGAGCTGGCCCTCCTGGGAGGACCCCGCCTACACTGCCTGAGGCCTCCAGTGGGTTCCCCACTCCTCTGTTTATGGATTCCTCCCCATAAATTCAGAGCGACAATCACCAAGTCACCTCTGAGCCACCGTGGGCACGAGGGAGGCAGTGCAGGAAAGGGCTCGGCTGCCCGGCCTTGCTGTTGCTGCTGTCGGCATCATTTATTCATTCAACAAACCTCACCCATGAGTCCTGCCCCAAGGACCCCCAGGCCTTTGTTCCCTGGCATTGGAGCCAAGAAGAGGGAAAGGGACCCTCCTCCCAGGGTCATGGGACAGGAGGCCCCTCAGTGGAGGTGGCAGAGGAGGAAGGGACCCCCGGGACCCCCACCCACCATGACTCTTCTTCGTGCTGTGGTGTGGTGCTTACAGGCTGGAGCCTTGCCCGCCCTGGAGACCTAGGCCCAAATCGGACAGGCCCCTCCTCCCTACTGCCTCATCCCCTGCCTCCGGCCGCCAGGCCCTCCCCATGGCAGGTGCAGGCACCCACCTGGTGGGCCCTCCTAGACACTCCCGGGACCCTCCCTGGGGAGCATCTGCAGGTCGGGAGGAGGGGCCTGTCCTCTCCACAGCCCGCTGATGGATGCCCTGAGGCATTCTCACCCCTCACCCCACTCCCTCCCTCCCTTTCTCCCTCCGCTCGCCCCCCCCGCCCCCCACCAGCCCTCTTCTCCCTGACACAGGAAGGGTGGCTGCTCCATCTGGTGGGACGCCCTCTCCCTGCCTGCTTCTCCTAGGGGCTGAGCTGAACATCCCTTCTAGGCTGGGAGCCTCTGTGATGCGCACACCCCACCTCTACTGCGTCCGGCTCAGCCATTCCTGCCTGGAAAGCCAGGAAGCCCATAGAGCTCCCTGCCCAGACGGGGCCACCCACCCCTCCGCCCGGCTCACCCCTCACCTTTCCTTTCAGGCTCCACTCAGGACCATGAGCACAGGCTTCCCTGGGACCCTCCGAGGGCTGAGGATGGCTGTCCAGCCCACTCCCCGGGGCGCCCCTCGGACAGCTGCATACCCCTAGCACCAGGACGGAGGGGCCATGCCAGGGGAACGGCCCCGAGGAGCGCCAGCCCCCACCATGACAGGAGACCTGCAGCCCTGCCACGTTGCCAGCAGCCTGGGACGCCCCTCCCAGGCCCCACTGGAGGACCACAGCCCAGCCGGCAGGACTACCAAGGGTGCCAGGGAGGTTGGCAGCCGGGCCCAGTCCATGGAGCTCCCTGAGGCGCAGCCAAGGCAGGCCAGTGATGGGGAGCCCCAGCCCCCACCCCTAAGAGGCCAGGCCCTGAGCAGCACTCCCAGGAAGGGGGGCGGCCCCCAGACCCCACCAGGGAGGAGCCCCTTGCAGGCTCCCTCAAGACTGGTGGGCAAGGCAGATGGCAGCCCCCCAAAGCACTATAGTCTGAGCATCGCCAGCTCGAGAGCCAAGGCCACCCTGGACCAGATGCCTGAGAACCCACCGCTGGAGGCTGCCCAGCCCCCAGAGGCGGAGGCCCCCCGGGGCCCTGGGACGGGAGCTCCCCTCAGGCCCGGCCTCTCGAGGACCGAGGCCCAGCCCACTGCTGAAGAGCTCGGCTTCCACAGCTGCTTTCAGGAGACACCCTCCAGCTTTACCTCCACCAACTATACCTCACCGAGTGCCACCCCCAGGCCCCCAGCCACAGGGCCCCCCCAGAGCAGGGGCACCAGCCCCCTCCAGCCCAGCCCCTATCCTGAATTCCAGGCCAGTGGGGCCGACTCCTGGCCTCCCACTGCTGAGAATAGCTTCCCAGGTGCTAATTTCAGGGCTCCCCCTGCCGAGTCGGAGCCCATCCCCACAGGCAGCAGGCCCGGCGACAGCCCCGCGGGCGCTCCCTTCCAGTTCCCCTTCCCAGCCCTGCACGGGGCTGGTGCTAAACCCTTCCCTGCGAACGCGGCCGGCCACGCATTCACCGACGGGCCGCTGCTGTTTGCCTGCCACCAGCCCCGGGGAGCATGGCCGGAAGAGGCCGTGGGTGCCGGCCCAGCCTACCCCCTGCCCACCCAGTCTGCACCCTCACCCCTCTCCTGCTACCAGGGCCAGCCAGGTGGCGTCAACCCCCACAGCAACCTCAGTGGTGCCCTGTCTCCGCCTGGAGCTGCTCCCTTGGCCCCGAGACCCTTCTCCGACAGTTTGCACAAGAGCCTGACCAAAATCCTTCCTGAAAGACCACGTTCAGCCCAGGATGGGCTGGGGAGCCCAAGGGAACCCCCTAGCTCCCTGCCCCAGAGGCGCTTCCCAGGGCAGGCGTACGGAGCCAGCCGGGTGGACACCAGCCCAGGGCCTCTGGACACTGAGCTGGCCTCCCCAGGTTGCGCACCCCCCAGGCTGCCCCAGCTGTGGGACCCCACAGCAGCCCCTTACCCCACAGCTGCCAAGGGCACCCTGGCTGCCACCAGGAGTGCCTTCTTCAATGGCCAGCCCAGGCCAGGCCAGCGGCTCCGGCTCCCCCAGAGTGCACCCTTGCCATGGCCCCAGGCGCTCCCGACCGCCAGGCCAAGCCCCCACGGAATGGAGATGCCCAGCCAGCTGCTTTTCCCTGCGGGGGCCCCTGAGTGGCAGGAGGACAGCCACAGAGCCCTGAGCACTGCTGGCAAGACACCGGGACCCGGGGAGCAGCTGGCAGCCGTGAGAAGTGGCCCGGACGCCTCCCCGGTGCTGTTCGCCTACAATGGGCTGACAGACCCCGGAGCCCAGCCCCTGTTCTTCGGGGTGGCCCAGCCCCAGGTTTCACCCCATGGCACACCCAGCCTGCCCCCACCCAGGGTGGTGGGAGCCTCCCCCAGCGAGTCCCCACTGCCGTCACCGGCCACCAACACGGCCGGCAGCACGTGCTCTTCACTGTCACCGATGTCCAGCAGCCCGGCCAACCCCAGCTCAGAGGAGAGCCAGCTCCCCGGCCCACGCGGGCCCTCGGCCTTCTTCCACCCACCCACTCACCCCCAGGAGACGGGCAGCCCCTTCCCATCCCCGGAGCCGCCCCACTCCCTCCCCACCCACTACCAGCCAGAGCCGGCCAAGGCTTTCCCTTTCCCTGCAGATGGGCTGGGAGCTGAGGGTACCTTCCAGTGCCTGGAGGAGACCCCATTCCACCACGAGGGCCCCGAGGTGGGCCGGGGAGGGCTTCAGGGTTTCCCCCGCGTGCCACCACTGTACCCCGCACAGCACTTCTCCCTCAGCAGCGCCAGCCTGGACCAGCTGGATGTGCTGCTGACCTGCAGACAGTGTGACCGCAACTACAGCAGCCTGGCAGCCTTCCTGGCACACCGGCAGTTCTGCGGCCTGCTCCTGGCCAGGGCCAAGGATGGCCACCAGCGTTCCCCAGGTCCCCCTGGGCTCCCCTCGCCCACCACTGCCCACAGAGTCCCCGCCGACGCACATCCCGACATGCTCAACCACTCGAAGGCCTTCCTGCCAGCTGAGGATGTCCAGGCCGAGGGCAAAGACGACCCCCTGAGAACGGGCTTCTTACCCAGCCTGGCCGCCACCCCCTTCCCGCTCCCTGCCTCGGACCTGGACATGGAGGATGACGCCAAGCTGGACAGCCTCATCACCGAGGCGCTCAACGGCATGGAGTACCATTCAGACAACCCCGAGATCGACAGCAGCTTCATCGACGTCTTCACAGACGAGGAGCCTTCCGGCCCTAGAGGTCCCAGCACTGGGCAGCCCCCTAAGACGAAGGCGGGGGTGATTCTGGAGAACAAAGCTCCACCCCCACTCCCAACAGCCACACCAGACCCCCAAGCTCCCCGCCCTGGGGACAGAGGCTGCCCAGCCCGAGGCAGGCCCAAAACACGTTCCCTGGGTCTGGCCCCCACGGAGGTGGACGCGCCCAGCCAGGGCAGGCAGCAGAGAAGAGGGAAGCAGTTGAAGCTGTTCCAGAAGGATCTGGACACCAGTGCAGCAGAGAGGCTGGGTGGGGGTGGCAGAGCCGCCCTGAGGCCCAGGAGGAGGAAGGGCAGTCATGGGCAGCGGCCCCCACCCTGTCCCCGGGACCTTAGAACGCAGGCCCCCGAGAGCCATGCAGACCCCATGCCCCAGGTCCGGAGAGCCGCCACCCTCCCTGAGGAGACCAGGAGCTCCCCACGCCTCCGACTGCCCCCCAGGAAGGACTCCAGGAGGAGGAAGGCTCGGGACGGCGCCTGGGGCAAGGAGCTCATCCTGAAGATCGTGCAGCAGAAGAACAAGCACTACCAGCGGCTGGGGCGGCATGTGGGCAGGCGGGGGTCCCTGGCGGCCAAGAGGCCCCAGGCCCGTGCCGGGGACCGCAGGCTCCAGGAGTACGACTACGCCTCTGAGTCCGAGGAGGACCAGCCTCCTCCGCAGCGGGGTCCTGGCCTCAGAGGCCGGAGGTGCCGAGGTGAGAAGAGGCAGGAAGTGGACTTGACCCAGGGTCCCGGAGAGCAGCGGAAGCACAGGAAGGCAGTGAGGCAGGAAGCCGGCAGGGACAGAGCCCCCCACAACCCCGAGGAGCCAGGCAGGCCTTGCCCAGACCCCAGCAGGAGCTCCGAGGCCCACGGCCCACCGCAAAGCCTGGAGGCCGGAGCGGCTGCCAGGGAGAGAGGCCCCAAGTGTGCTGATGGCCCCTCACTGGCCCCCAAGGATCCCCTGCAGGTCCCCACCAACACCCAGACCCCCGAGGAAAACCACCCACCTCTGGACTTCCCCCGGGAGGCCGAGGAGCCTGAAATTGTCAAAGGGTCACCCGTGGACACCTCAGAACTCACAGGGGTTTTGAGTTCTTCTCCAGCCAGCTGTGTGGAAGGAAGCCCCAGCCTCCGGACTCCAGAGCAGCTGCAGCCCAGCACACAGGACACGGGAAGCCTCGACCACGTGGCACCCCACGCCACCGTGGCATCTCACAGGAGTGCACCAGCGCCAGGCGTGGGCAGCCTGCTGGATGGCCCTGGGTGCACAAAGGCCCCCATCTGCCACAACAGAGAAGAACCCCCTGCCCACCATCCTGCAGAATTTCTGGCACCCACGGCTATCCCCTCGAGTACTGCCTACCCCAGACCCAGCATTCTGTCTTCAAAGATCTCCAGTTTTGGCTGTGACCCTGCTGGTTTTAACGGAGACCCCATGGGGGTTCCAGTTGCCAAAAAGGGGCCTCAGGCCTACGGCAGCCCCCATGGTGAGTTGTTCCTTGGACCTAAAGACCTGGCTGGCTGTTTCCTGGAAGACCTGCACCCCAAGCCCTCAGCCATGGACGCCCCACCGGCCAGCAGCTCCTGCCTTTGCCGGGACGGCGAGGATGCTGGCTCCCTTGAGCCACTGCTGCCTAAGAGCCTCCCCGGCACGGCTGGAATGGACCCAGAGAGAGCCACGTCGCCACTGACCTTGGAGTCCACGTCCCTTTTTCCAGGACTGCAGCTGGACAGATTCGACCCACCCCTCTACGGCAGCCTGTCTGCAGACAGGGGCCCCCAGGTGCCATTCACATGTGCTGACCCTCCCCAAAAGCAGCCCCCATCAGACCCACCGTTCCCCACTTTTTTGCTGCTTGAAGAAGTACCCCCGATGCTGCCCGACCATTTTCCTGATCCCTCAGGGGGAAAGGTGCTCAATAAGACGTGTCCCCCTGAACAGACAGCAGCCCCCGGCGCCCCAGCTTTGCCTGGGAAGGGAAGTGGATGTAGCGTTGCTCTTATGAGCCACCTGTCTGAGGACGAACTGGAGATCCAGAAATTGGTCACCGAATTAGAAAGTCAACTGCAAAGGAGCAAAGACACACCTGGGGCCCCAAGAGAGCTCGGAGAAGCTGAGTCTGGGGGCAGGGTGGAGCCGAGCACGGGCACAGAGGCACCCTCCCCGCTGCCCACCTGCCAGGCCACCATGCCCCACAAGGACACACTCTCGGCGGCTGACGTCACAGTCACTGGGGAATCCACTGCACCTCGGGAGGGTGCAGGACCAGCTGTGGCCACCATGGAAGGGGTTCAGCAAAGGCCCACGGCGACATGGCCCTGCCCAGCTTCCTTCCACCCAGGAAAAACAGCCCCTCTCCCCTGCGCCCAAGAAGACCTGGTTTCTGGATCTCCTTTCAGCCCCACGGGAGCCAGCTTCCATTTTCAGCTGGTGCAGAAAGCCAGAGTCTCCAAGACTGGACTCCACCAGGCAGAAGGGGACAGCCGGGCCCCTCAAGATGTCTGCTTACCTGAAGGGGACAGTGGGGCCTCCCAAGATGTCTGCTTGCCTGGAGGGGACAGCGGGGCCCCCCAAGATGTCTCCTTGCCTGGAGGAGACAAAGGGGCCCCCCAAGATGTCTGCTTATCTGAAGGGGACAGTGGGGCCCCCCAAGATGTCTGCTTGCCTAGAGGGGACAGCGGGGCCCCCCAAGATGTTTGCTTGCCTGGAGAGGACAGCAGGGTCCCCCAAGATGTCTGCTTGCCTGAAGGGGACAGCGGGGCCCCCCAAGATGTCTGCTTGCCTGGAGGGGACAGCGGGGCCCCCCAAGATATCTGCTTGCCTGGAGGGGACAGTAGGGCCCCCCAAGGTGTCTGCTTGCCTGAGCCCAGCAAGCAGCCAGGGCCACCACTGGATGCCAGGAGTTTAGCAAAGAACAACCCTGACCAGGAGCTTTCGTTTCCTAAAAATAAGGAGGTCACCAGCTCACAAGAAAGTGAAGACACCCTGCGGCCGCTTCCCTGTGAACAGAGAGGATGGCTTTTCCCAGGACCCGGCACCGAAGACGGGCCCCGCCCAGAGGTCCCAGCTCTGCAAGCCTTCGGCAGCCCTACAGTCCATCTGGCCCCTGACTTGGCATTTCAGGGTGACAGGGCCCCACCGCTGGATGCCACTTGGCCTTTTGATGCCAGTCAGAGCCATGCTGCCCAGGGACATTCTGCAGGCAGAGCAGGCAGGCGCCTCTACCCCGCATCAGGGAGGCCTGGCTTGGAGGGTCATTCGTTTGCACCGGCGGGGGCCTCCTCGATGACCACCCCCCAGGGCAGGAGGGCTTGGTTTGTCCCTGTGCCAAGTCCCGCCTGTGTGTCTGACACACGTCCCGGCAGGAGGTCCCAGGACCCAGCCTCAAGCCCCCTACGTCAGCTCTCCATCCTGGGGCCTGGAGCAGCTGAGAGTAAAGATGGCATCCCAGCCTTGCAAGAGCCAGCACCTGCTGCCCAGAGCCCTCCTCAAGGGAACCCCTCAGATCTGGAAGGGGGCACTGTGAAAGGAGGGAGGGTGGCCTGTGGCCCCGCCCTGGGCCCTCTGGAGGGTGTGGAGGTGACAGCTCTCCCCACAGTGGCCGGACATCAGCTGGGGCTGGAGGCAGATGGACATCAAGGCTTTCTTGGCCAAGCTGAGAAAACCCAGGTCCAAGGCAGAGCCAGCCGGCTTCAGTCAGTGAACGGAGGGAGCCCAGGGGGGGCGGGTAACCTCTCCTCTGTCAATGCCAGTCCCAAAACAGCACTGGCCAGGCCTGCCACAGGTGCAGTCCTGCTAGAGAAATGCGAGGGAGTTAGGGCAGCCATGAGCCTTCAGGGCGAGGCCCCGCACCGCCCAAGCCTCCTGTCCCCGGATAGGGAGTCCCTGACGCTCGCCTTGACAGCAGCCGACACCCAAAATGCACCCGAAGGCTGGGCTCTACAGAGGGCGTCCAGCCTGGTCCTGAACAAGCCGTTGCTGGCCACAGGGGAGAGTCCAGCACCCTCCATCGGGGACCTGGCCGCCTGCGCCCCCTCACCATCTTCTTCAGCCACCCCTATGCCCTGCAACCTCGGGCCCCTGCCCCATGAAGACCCACCCACCTCTCCCTCCAGTGCCACCAGAGCCCAAGGTGGGCTGAGGGGGCAGCTGCCAGCATCTCCATCCTGCAGGGACCCTCCCAGCCCCCAGCACCCGCCAGCCTATTCTCCTGCCCAGGCACCTCTGGAAGAGGCAGATGCTATTCCAGCCCACACAGATACTGGGGCTGGGGATCCCCCAGCAGCTCCCCCACCTTTGACCACAAGCCCGTGTGATCCTAAGGGAGCCTTGGCCCACTGCATCCTCCAGGGAAAGGACAGCCCCCTGGAAGACGCTTCCTCCCAGTGTCCTGGCTCAATTAGTGCCGTAGCCTACACTCAGGGCAGGGGCAGCCCCGAAGACAGCACTTTAAGAATTCCAGAGGATTCCAGAAAAGGGAAGCTGTGGGAGTCTCCTGGCCGAGCCACCTCTCCCCCGCTGGCAGGGGCTGTCTCCCCCACCATGGCCTTGAGGGCTGCTGACCTGTCCAACACTCTCAACAAAGATGTGCCACAGGCAGGCAGAGGACCCCCAGGGCTGGAACCCCAAAGCAGGGGAGCCCCATCCCACACCAATTCTGACAGGATGCCCAGCGGCTACTCAGATTCTCCAAGCAACGCTGCCCACCTCAGCCACAGGGAAGCCCACGCTGTCACAGCTGTGCCCACTGTGCCTCCCACGCCACCGGGTGCAAGGTCGGACTCCCCCACCTGCCTGGAAGGTGAGGCGGGGACCAGCAGCAAGGGGCCAGAGCACCCAGGGACCCCTGAGGCTGGGCACTCTGGTGGTGCCACAGTGCCCAGTGTTACCTGCCCTTCCACAGGGCTCTGCTTGGGCGTAACCACAGCTCCAAGCAGCACAGCAAGTGACTTCCAGTCGGACTCCCCCAAAAGCCACAGAAATGCCTCCCACCAGACTTCCCAGGGGGACCCCCTCGGTCCCCAAGACCTCAAACAGGGGCCTCATCGCTATAAAAAGAAGCCAGTGTCTACAGAGAACGGCCAGGCTGCGCTCGGGCCTGTGACCTGTGAGGTCTGCACAGCTTCCTTCCGCTCCCGGCCGGGCCTGAGCCGGCACAAGGCCAGGAAGCACCGGCCACGCCCGGGAGCGTCCCCACAGCCGAGCCCAGCGGCCCTGCCTGCTCAGCAGCCTCCGGGACCCCCAACCCAGAAGTGCCAGCCCCCCAGGAAGAAGAGCTGCAAGGCACCTGGGAAGGAGAGACCAAACCACTCTCGGGGGTACTCCGGCCACACCGCCCGGGGCCTGAAGGAGGTTCTAAGGACACCCAGCTCCGCACACAGCCAGCAGCAGCACCCGCCAAGCCCCGCTGAGCATGGGGTGGACGTGAAAGCTCCAGCCTCCAAGCCAAGACCAGACCAGGTCAGGGAAGATGAGCTCCATCCCAAACAGGCAGAGAAAAGAGAGGGCCGGAGGCGACGTGGAGAGCCCATGGCGGACTCCGCCAGCCACTCCAAGGGGAAGTCGAGTAAGAAAGCAGGAAAGCTGAGAGGGAGAAGGCTCTGGGAGGACAGCGCTCCTCCAGTCTCTGCTGAAGTGAGTTCAGATGGGCGCGGCCCCAGACCATCTCACGCAGCAGCCAGCTCCACCGCCCCCTCTAGCCACGGCCTCCCTGTGGAAGGACGGCCTGAGGCTGACAAGGAGCAGCCGCCTCGCTGGACCACGCCTGGGCCTAGGGTGATGGAGGGTGCTGCGGGGACTGACCTGGAGGCTCTGTGCGCAGGGGAGCCTGGGGCCCAGACGCTACCTGGAGATCAGATGGTGCGTCCAGGGAGGATGGACGGTGCGGCTCTCGGGGAACGGTCAGTTAGGCAGAAGGGAGCCTTGGCGAGGGGGCTCCGGAGACCGAGAGAGACCAAGGCATTGGGTGTTTGCAAAGCGTCTGGGAGCACGCCGGCGGAGGACAGCAGCAGGGCCCGCAGCGGGTCCGAGCAAGGCGTCTGGGAGGAGCTCACGAGCCCCTCGGGTGCCCCTGGGTTTCCCGAGACTTCCAGCTATCCAGTGGACAGCACCACCAGCGGCTGCCTCCAGGGCCTCCCGGAGAACCCAGACACCCAGGGTGGAGTCCCAGGGCCTGAGGGCCCCACTCCTGAAGCCCCCGGCTCCAGTGCCGAGGATCCTCCAAGCTTGTTTGATGACGAGGTCTCCTTCTCCCAGCTCTTCCCTCCCGGCGGCCGCTTGACCCGAAAGAGGAACCCTCGCGTCTACGGGAAGCGCTGTGAGAAGCCAGAGCCCCAGCTACCCACCCAGCCCAGCGTGGACGAGGGCCCCACACTCAGCCCAGCCTGCCTGCCCATGGACCTCAGCGACTCCGGCTCCCTCTGCCTGTGCCATGAGGATCCATGGGAGGACGAGGACCCCGCAGGCCTGCCTGAGTCCTTCCTCCTGGATGGGTTCCTCAGCAGCCGGGTGCCTGGCATTGACCCCTGGGCCCCCGGCCTCAGCCTGTGGGCCCTGGAGCCTGGCAAGGAAGCCAGTGCAGAGCAGCTGCCCTCCCGTTGCCCGGAGGACGATCAGCCCGAGGCCATTCCCGAGCTGCACATGGTCCCGGCGGCTTGGAGAGGCCTAGAGCTACCGGCCCCTGCCAATGACGCCTCCTCTTCTCTTGGAGACGTGAGCCCCGAGCCCCCCAGCCTGGAGAGAGAACGCTGTGACAGTGGGCTGCCCGGGAATGGCCACCTGCTGCCGCTCCGGACCGCAGACTGGGAGACACTGAGCTCCGAGTTTCAGATGCGAGACCTGTGCTTTCTGAGACCCTTTGAAGACCCCACAGGTCTCCCAACCACCAGCTTCTTAGACTTCGAGGCCACGGCGAGCTCCCGGGGGCCACAGAACGGAAGGACGGAGGCGGCCACGGGGGCGGGTAGGGCCCAGGGCCGAGGGCGGCTGACCAAGGGCAAGCGGGCCTCCTACAAGTGCCGGGTGTGCTTCCAGCGCTTTCGCGGCCTGGGCGAGCTGGACCTGCACAAGTTGGCACACATGCCCGCGCCACCGCCCACCTGCTACATGTGCGTGGAGCGCAGATTCGGTTCGCGGGAGCTGCTGCGGGGGCACCTGCAAGAGAGACACGCGCAGAGCAAGGCGGGGCCCTGGGCCTGCGGCATGTGCCTGAAGGAGGTGCCCGACATCTGGATGTACAACGAGCACCTGCGGGAGCACGCCGCCCGCTTCGCCCGCAAGGGGCAGGCGCGGAGGTCTCTGGGGGACCTGCCCAGAGGCCTGCAGGGCAGCAGTGCCATTGCTCAGCTTCTGAGTGGCATCATGGAAGCCACCCCCAAACCCCACAGGGACAAGCACTCCGTCGGCAAGACAGGCGGGAGCCCGGGAGACTCCTCGGGGCCGGAGGGAGAGGCCGGGAAAGACAGCAGGAGCCAGAGGGCGAAACCTGGCTGGTTCAGCACCCCTAGCCACCCAGACAGGGCCGTGACACCAGACAGCATCTGTGCCAACACACTGGCCAACCTGGGCAGCCCTGCAGCCTGCGAGAAGCCCGCTCGGGCCTGCGGCTCGACCCTGCTCCCGGGTCCCGCCAAGACCACTCCCATCCCGTCCCCAGGCTCCTGGCCCGGCGGGGAGCCCCTCCTGCAAGCCGTCCCGGTGCACCAGGCCTGCAAGGACCCCTCCCGCGACTGCCACCACTGCGGGAAGCGCTTCCCCAAGCCCTTCAAGCTGCAGCGCCACCTGGCGGTGCACAGCCCACAGCGCGTCTTCCTGTGCCCCCGGTGCCCCCGGGTCTACTCCGAGCACGGGGAGCTGCTGGTGCACCTGGGCGGGGCGCACGGGCTGCGGGAGCCGCTGGAGCTGCAGCACACACCACTCTACGCCTGCGAGCTCTGCGCCACGGTCATGCACATCATCAAGAAGTCCTTCGCCTGCAGCTCTTGCAACTACACCTTTGCCAAGAAGGAGCAGTTTGACCGCCACATGGACAAGCACCCCCGGAGAGAGCGGCAGCCCTTCACGTTCCGCGGTGTGCGGAGGCCTGGAGCACCGGGGCAGAAGTCCCGGGCCCTCGAGGTCACACTGCCCAGCAAACGGCGTAAAGTGGCCATGCCCGGCAGTGCCCCCGGGCCCGAGGAGGACAGCCCCACCCTGAGCGAGGGGTCCCTCCCAGCCCTGCTCCAGCTCTGCCCGGAGGTGGCTCCCAGCACAACCAAGGGATGGCCCGAGACCCTAGAGAGGCCTGCAGACCCTGGGACCCTCCCAATCAGGGGTTGCGATCGGCCATCTGACCACCAGGAGTGTCCCCCGCCGTCTCTGTCTCCGTACCCAGCTGCCTTGGCTGAGGGCAGAGGGGACTGCGAGCCAGACAGAGCCCCAGAGAGGCCAGAGGATGAGGCTTCTGCAGGCAGCCCTGGGACTCTTCTCCAGCAAGCTCTTCCACTGGGGGCATCTGTGCCGAGGCCAGGAGCCAGAGACCAAGATGCAGAGGGAAAGAGGGCTCCCCTCCTGTTCTCAGGGAAACGCAGGGCCCCAGCTGCCCAAGGCAGAGGTGCCCCTGACCATTTCCAGCAAGATCCTACCCTGCTTCCAAAACAGAAGCAGGTGTCCTCAAGCCACATGGCATCTGAGGGGGGTCCTGGAGGCCCCTTCCACAAGGGCAGTGCCACCAAGCCTGGGGGCTGCCAGAGCTCATCAATGGACAGGTCGGCAGCATCCACCCCCAGCAAAGCGCCCAAGTTCCCAGTGCATCCAAGGAAGGCGGTGGGGAGCCTGCCACCTGGGGAGCTGGCCCGTGGCACAGAGAACGGGATGAAGCCCGACACCCCCAAAGCCAAACCAGGCCCCAGCCCCCAGGACAGTGGAAGCCCTCGCCCTGGCACCAAGACGGGCGGTGGCAGCCAGCCCCAGCCAGCCAGTGGGCAGCTCCAGAGTGAGACAGCCACTACCCCAGCCAAGCCTAGCTTCCCCAGCCAGAGCCCGGCACCAGACAGGCTCCTGCCTCGAGCCCAGGCCAAGAGCTGCACCAAGGGGCCAAGGGAAGCTGGTGAGCAGGGGCCCCACGGGAGCCCGGGTCCCAAGGAGAAGGGAGAAATCAGCATGAAGAGGAAAAAGAGCCAGGCCCCGGGGGCAGCCAGGACTGAGAGTGTGGGGAGCTTCGGGAGAGCCCCCTCGGCCCCTGACAAGCCCCCCCGGACCCCTCGGAAGCAGGCAACTCCCAGCCGTGTGCTCCCGGCCAAGCCCAAACTCAACAGCCAGAACAAACCCAGGCCACCACCCTCAGAGCAGCGGAAGGCAGAGCCGGGCCATGTGCACAGGAAGGACAGACTGGGCAAGGCCTTCCCCCAGGGGCGACCCCTGCTCAGGCCCCCCAAGAGGGGCAGAGCTGTCCGCGGTGCTGAACCTGCAGAGCCACACACCCGCCAGACCGCCGAGGCCCAGAGTGACCTCCTTAGCCAGCTCTTCGGGCAAAGACTAACTGGATTCAAAATCCCTTTAAAGAAAGATCCTTCTGAGTAATTTACAGGAGCAAGAGCCTGGGAGCAGAGCTGGGGGTGGCCAGCTCCAGCTCCCTGAGACGGTTTACTCTGTGGCCACTTGACTTCTTGTGCCTTGATGTCAGAGCTGAGGTTGTGACACTTTGAACAGGGCCCAGGGTGGCCCTTTCTTGCTGGAAGGCTGCGGGTGAAAGACGGGGCCACTGCAGCCCCTTTGAGACCACACAGCTGCTTTCTTGGTACCAAGTACTTGAAGAGACAGCACCTTATCCCCCCGACCCACAGCCTTGTACCCTCTTGGCAAGGCACCGACACCATAGAAGCCAATAATTGGAGATTTGCACAGCCTCCCATTCCCCATACGAAGCAGGGAAGTAAGTCGAGGCAGCCATGGGATGATGGCAGGTTCCCCCTTAGTCTTGCTGCTGTTGCTGGAGTTCCAAAGTGACCTTAGAAACCACGTAGGGGAAGGCAGTGCTCGCCACTTAGAAGAGCTGGTTCTGAGCCGCCTGGTCCCCCAAGAGCACAACAGGCCTCCTCCCTCTGACCACAGGGTCGTGCTAGCCTGTTTGTGCTGCCAGAGAAAAGCCCATCTCTAGCGCACCTTGATCCTGGGAACCAGGTTTCCATATGGAACTGGGAAGAAACAGCGCCTGTGCCAGCTCCCACGGGTTCTCCCGGTGCCCCCCAGCCTCCATGACCGCCTCTGGAGCCCACCTGCTGTACGGAGCTCTGGGCTCTGCCTATCTGCAATGTTACTCTGAAGTTTCTGGTGCTATTTTGGTGTTGTAATGTGAATACAGGCTTCCTTGATTTTTTTTAATGAGGGGATCAGGTGAGACAGATGGGGTCAGAGAGGCCCCCACCGCTGCATGGAGGGCACAGGCACCCACGTGTGGCACTCTCTCCCTGCCTCCCCTGCCAGGCTGTGAGCCCTAGGTCTGTGTGGCCAGACGGGGATGCTGAGGCGCTGCCCAGCCAAGGAGGCCTCGGGCGAGGACTGACCCAGGCCCAGGACGCACATGTCCGCTCACAGAGCCAGCCGTGTCTGTGAAGGTGGGTAGAAGGCAGGAGAGCTTCCTTCTCTCCATAAGTATCTTGAAGACTCATGGTTTGTTTTGCTCTGTTGTTTAGTTTTTATCTTGGGTGCAATGTATATGTCAAAAGTTTTTATTTTGATATTTGAAAGAGACCAAATCAGGCCCAGATGGCCTCTCTGGAAGGTGCTGTGGGCCATTCACAATGCCTCCTGCCTCTGGAGTGTCGTAAAGCAGGCACGGAGGGGCCCTGAGGTTGTACTGTAAACGTCATAGTGACTCGTCTTTTCAAATATATTCCCACTATTTTCGCAGAAAACCTCCCAGCTGTGTGACGTCTGTCCTCCCACCGGTCCCCACCTCACCTGCACCTCCCAGAGCCTCAGAACGTGGCTCCCGGGGTGTCTGTGCCGCAGTCACTCTTGGGCCACTGTGGGCCATGGCCGTGTCCTAAGAACACCCCTTCAGCAGTGGGGGGGTGGCCCAGGCTTTCCAGAAAGGGGCAAGCCCACCCTGCCATCCTCGTTGAGGACCTCACACACTCCCCAGGAGGAACAGAAGGGAGGCTGAGGAGTCCTGGCGCCCCTCCCCCACGTCAGAAGCATCATGAGGGGCCCAGGGAGCAACTGGGCTGGCCTTATCCACAGAGAAGGCAGGGCTGAGGGAGGGTGAGCATGGGGACCTGGGCTCTGCCACCCTTGGGCCCCCCCCCAGGCACCCGTCTGGTGTGAATTTCCGGGCTTCACGCACCAAGACGTGGCCCTCCCAGGCTGGGGAGCCAGGCCCCTCACCTGCACAGAGACACGGCCTTGTCCCCTCCTCCCCCACGCTCTGGTCCGTGCAGGCGTCCACGTGCCCCTGCCTCAGCCTGCTCCCTCCTGTGCCCTTCCAAGCTTCTCCTGAGACTGCCTTCTGGCACGGCCTCGTGCCTGCCGCTGACCATCACGGCATCCTCTTGCCCTCTTGGCCGCTGGACTTCCTCAGCTCTCATCCCTTCCCCAGGCGGGCACTGGGCCTCCCCTGCCTTCTGCTTCTTGCTGGTGGAACTCACACCACAGGGGCATCTGCAAAGGGGCTCAGTGTGGGGAGGGCAGTGCCTGATGTCGAAGCCAGTGTCTCAGGGTGGATGTCAGACACCGTCACGCCAGCTGCAGAGCTGGGGGCATGGGGAGCTCCAGACCCCAGTAGGACCCGGGTGGGATCTTACAACCATTCCCAGCAGGGCAGCAACACCTTCTCGCTTGTTAACACGTGAAGATCATGAGACCATCAGCAGTGCTGCCTCAGTCTCCCCCTCTGTTTCCAAAGCTTCTTGGTTCTGGGGTGAGGTCCTCAGGGAGCAGAGCAGCTCCACTGAGGACAACACAGGGAAGGGAAGGGGCAGCAGGAGGGGTGGAACCAGGAGACGCTCTCCACCCAGTCTCAGGCACCAGGGGCCTCCTGTTTCCTAGAGAGCCCCTCAAAGACCTCAGTGTCTGGGGGACAAGTGACCCTCTCCAGTGAGGGTGGGCCAGAGTAGACTCTTGACTGGGCAGATGAGGGAGCTGCTCAGAGGAGGCCCCCAGCCTCCCTGCCTCACCAGCCTCCTGGTCTCACCAACTTCGCTTTCCTCCCCTCTTCCTTGGACAGATGACAAATTCACCTGTGGCCTGTGACTGTGGCCCCTGCAACCCCATAGTCTCCCCACCTGCCAGGCCCCTAAACAGTTCCCTTTGCCGGGAACACTGTTCCCAAGCCCACACACAGCCCCTTCTCTCCTTCCGACCCCTCCCCTCACGCCAGCCATCCTCTGCCCCGTGGCTCTGTGCTGGGACCCTGGTTTTTGGGTCTTCCCGGACCTGATGGTGGCAGATGCCACAAGGCAGCCCTGGCCAGGCCTGCCTTTGGGAGGGGCTGGTGAGGGGGTGTGGCCATCTGCCCACTGCTTTGCTCACATTGCCCGCCCACTGTGCAAGGATCTTGGCCCTGGGAAGCCAGTGGACGCAGCCCCCAGGCAGGGCCTTCCGAACAAGTGGCGATTGGCGTAAGGACTGCGCCTCGTGGGTGAGCAGGGGGCTCCGTCTCTAATGAGGAGGCGTAGATGCGGGCTGGAGGGAAGGGCATGGGAAGGGCCTTGTGCACTGGGCTCTGAGATGGTGTTCGGACCGCGGTGGGTTGCAAGGCAGCCTGTCTGGCTTTGGTGTGTGAAAGGATCCCATGTACTTCATGGGTGGGGACCTCCAGGTCCCACCAGGTCCTTGGTCCAGGACACTCGCTCCCCTCAACACAGTGTGTCTCAGGCAGAGCCCCAGCCGGCAGCATCCAGAGCACCCTACTAAGGTCAGTGGCTCTGGGACAGGCTAGGCACTCACTCCCACCAGCATCAGGTGCTGATGTTGGAGAGCTGCGGCTCCCAGCCATCTAAGGCCCTGCTAGGGGACTGTCAGGAGGGAGCTGTCCCTGTTCACATATCCCTCCTCCCATGAGGCCTGAGACCACCCTGTGGCCAGAGACCCACAACGTGGACGCCCCCTGCCTGGCCACCAGGTGGCAGCATTCGCCCGGCCAGGGGACCCAGCCTCCACCTGGGCAGGGTAGCTGCCCGCAGCCTCCGGAGGCACTGCACGTGCCGGCCCCACACCCACCTGCTGGCCCCACACCCACCCGACCTGCAAGTTACCCGCGTGCACACCGGGGACCTCCACACACTAAAGGGGACAGTCAGGCAGGGAGCCCCGGATGGCACATGTGCACCCAGCACAGCCTCACCTATGCAGGCATTGGGGCACTCAGACTCGTGCCCACATGCACACACGCCTGCTCAGCCCCGGGTGCACTCAGGCCCCTGCCGGTGCACTCACACGGCCACAGGAGGGAGTGCCGTGGGGGTCCCTGCAGGCTTCCCTGAAGGACAGGTGTTTGAGCTGGGAGCGGAGGGACCCTAGGCGCGAGCTGTGCAGGTCTCAAGGGGACCCCTGCAGACAGAGTGGACATTGAGGCCTAGCCCCAGGCACAGTCAGGGTCACCATCCACACCAACCTTCCCAACCCGGGGACAGTCAGGTCACCGTCCACACCAACCCTCCTGACCCAGGGACCCTGTCTCTCCCACCCTGGATTCTGAGACCCAGTTTGTCCCAAGGTTCCAGAGACCCTCTGTGGCCAGCACCCATGATGAGCTGCGTGGAGCAGCAGGGTGGACAGGAGGCCATGGGTGTGCAGAGCTCCCACGGAGACTGCGGCGTTCCCCAGCAGCCACGCTAGATCCCGAGGCCTGCCCCCACAGCTGCTGGGTAAGTGGCATCAGGAGAGAAGGGGGTGCCCTGGACCAAGCCGAGGAGACAGAGTGGGTGGCAGGTGTGGAGGAGACGCAGGCAGGGGAGCACGTGCCAGGTACCCCTGGGTCTCAGCCTGTGGGGGAGGAAGCGGAGGATGGGGGGGTCCCAGTGGTGAGCGGCAGGCCCGGCTCCATCCCCCGCACCCCGCCACACAGAGAGGAGGTGTGCAGGGCAGGGTCGGAGGTGCACCCTCCTCAGGGAACAGACACAGGAACGGTTCACTGGGAAACTCATCATTTAAAGCAGGCTCGCCTACACCTTGGAGCACCTGGTTTCCTGGGAAAATGTATGGATGGGGCAGTGGGAAGATGGGGATGGAGAGGACTGGCCTGAGGACGCAGCTGTGTCCTGGTGACTCAGGGGCAGCTGATGCCAGGATTTCCTGAAGCACCCCATGAGGTGATGGGACTTGGAGGCCCTGGAGCCCATGGGGAGCTCAGTCATGCCGTGTTCTTTGTCCCGTGAGCAGCTCAGTCCTGCCGTGTCCTCTGTCCCGTGGGCAGCTCAGTCCTGCCGTGTCCTCTGTCCCGTGGGCAGCTCAGTCCTGCCATGTCCTCTGTCCTGTGGGCAGCTCAGCCCTGCCGTGTCCTCTGTCCTGTGGGAGCTCAGTCCTGCATGTCCTCTGTCCCGTGGGCAGCTCAGTCCTGCGTGTCCTCTGTCCCATGGGCAGCTCAGTCCTGCGTGTCCTCTGTCCCGTGGGGGCTCAGTCCTGCGTGTCCTTTGTCCCATGGGCAGCTCAGTCCTGCCATGTCCTCTGTCCTGTGGGCAGCTCAGTCCTGCATGTCCTTTGTCCCGTGGGCAGCTCAGTCCTGCCATGTCCTCTGTCCCCTGCCACATATGGGCCACAGGGATGCAGCTGAAGTTGGAGACTCCAGCCTGTGTCTCCCCTTCCCAGTGCATAGGCAGCAAGCAGGTCACCTCAGCTTCCAGCCAGGAAGCAGCGGGCAGCAGTCCCCAGTCCCGGGCGGATCACAGCACTGGGATGGCCACACTGAGGCCCAGGGGTGTCTGTCTTTCCAGTCCTGGGCCCCAAGGCTGCGGCCCCTTTCCCCAGTGCAGTGTCTGTCTCCCTGACGAGTCGGCACGGCCTTGGGTAGAGAAGGCAGAGCTGGCCCTCCCCGAGGCCCTGGGACTCAGCAGGGGGTCAACACACACTGCCTGGGCGCACACTGCCCAAGACAACCCCAGGGCTGCTTCCGAGCCCAAGGAGGGCATGGATGTGTTCTGCCAGCACAAGGAGGTGCCCAGGAGCAGCTGAGCCCTGAGCTGGGGGCCGAGGCCTCAGGCTGGTCATGGGCCTCCGCAGTTCAGTTCTTCCAGCCGTTAAACGGGCGACGTGGCCACCGAGAGCCTTTCCAGCCCCAGCTCCCAGCAGCTCCCTGTCAGGGCTCCACCCCAGGCGAGGAGCTGCGGTTCCCTGCACTGGCTGGATTGCACACCACGGC